TGCTAAGAGAAATTTCCAAAAATTTGTTAGTTTGAGCTAATGTGCCAATTCGGAAAGCAAGGACAAAGATCCAGTATTCGTGACCCATTAAACATCGTTCTGGTTTTCATCATACGTTTTTTAGCTATCAGTAGTTTACATGGCCCCATCTGTTCTTTATCAGTTCGCTGTCGTCAAAGTATATCAGGGAAGCAGCCGCCCAACACTGTCACTAGTACATTAATGCACTAACACCTCAGTCAGATTTCGTCCAGGCATATTCGCATAAATAAGAAAGGAGCAAAGAGCACCTGTGTTCCAACTTGCATTGATCGAATAGGCCCTTCATAAATGACATCTGTACCTCTTAACACTCTCAACGAGTCAGACCTGAAATGTCATTTCAGTTAGTTCCCCACGAAAATTCTGCATCTGAAGAAAACATATTAAACATCTAGGACAACTGGCGTAGCAATTCACAGAGAGGCACTAATGAATGGTCGGAGTTTTCATCAAAAACGCCATTCATTAGCAAAAAGGCTAACGGAAACGGCATAAGAAATGAAATGCGACAAAACTAGAAGCGAAGGTAGCAGCACCACACAAAACTCAAGGCTGTTGGACTGTTTCGAGTACTAAGGCCTGCAAAAAAAACTGTCAGTCTCGCGTTGCATCGCTGCCAGCACTCATTTCAAAAAAAAACTCGTTTTAATTAAAAAATTGCAAAGAAAGTCGCCTTGCTTCAGGCGAGTCTCTGACTGCAGCAAACACCAAAGGAAGACGGAAAACTGAAAGGTTAAAGCAGGAAATGTGTGCAATGCCAGGAAAGGCGAAAATGGTTACTCAAATAGTAAGTAAAGAATGAGGAAAACTAAATTTGGAAAAAAGACTTCGTTTCATTTTTTTTAAAAGTAAACAGTTAGTCAGAACTTGGTTAAAACTTTTTCCTATGACAACACAGAAGAAGCGGATTCAAGCAACACAAGTGTTATTCGTACAACAAAGGACTAATACGAATTTACATACTTATTTAAAACGCCCCAATCAACCAGAACTCCAGCAACCGGCTGCTTTTTCCTTTCAACGAGCACCGAAAAACACTTGATTACATGGCCTTCGCCGACCTGCTCAAAGGTTACTTCTTCCGGAAGACAGTCCGATAAACGGCTTTTCAGATCTTCTACCAAACGATAAATAACATTGAAATGATTGATTTCCACACCAAGGCGCTCGGCGAAACGCCTCAGTCCAACAGGCACTTCTATATTGAAGCAATACAACAGCACTGCAAGGACGTAGAATTTAAAATGCGTTTCAAGCCCGGCGAAAGGAGAGCAAGAAACACAACAGTATGCGATGGATACGTCCCAATATGATGCAAACAGAAATACCAAGATTAAATTATGACGGTGAAAGAAATACCGAAACCGCTCAGACTTTAGAGCAGGATCCCCCTGTCAGTGGTTTTACCAGAATGCTCTCATACATAGGGCGCAGCAGTGCCAGACCCTTCGATCCTGGAATGCATACCTCCAGTTAGTACTCACTGCCTGTTCTATGTATGCTCAGCATCACTTCGAGGGCCTTACGAATGGTCATTTACTTCCTCGGGGAAACCGCTCACTAATGCGCATCGTCCACCGATTGTCGGCAAGGCGGGCGACATGTCCTGCTCATCGAATTTCACTTTCTTTTGCACGGTCGCAGTATTTCTTCCACCATATTATGATGGAGGAAGAAATACTGTACGAAATATTCCCAACCTAGTACATTTAAGGGGCTTTGTGATTTCCCGGAGCTCGAGTTTCGATAAACTCACATCCCAGATCCTTCGCCAATTCAATATCACTTTCACTGGGCGGTCCGACATCGAACTTCACAAGTTCCAACTCTACTTCCTTCGAATCGTAGGTGTCCAAGATGTTCAGAATGGCCTCCAGTGTTCCATCGACATCGCTATTAAGCATTAAACGAATGGACGGCTTTTGAGCGCCAGTGTCTTTCTGATATTTCTGCTCCTAACCAAAACTTTTCAGTTCGTTAACAATTATAAACAAATGATAAAAAGAGCACAACAATGCAAAATACTGGAAGCGACGATCTTGCTGGTCCTTCGAGAACAATCCGTGGTTCAAGGCGTGATCAGGAATGTTCACTGGTGCAGTCTGGATCAGCAGAGTGGGACTGCCGGCGTATGAATCAATGGCAGATCATTCGTGAGGAAAATGACAGTGCCGTGCGAACCACGCGACCTCGCTTGGCAACTGTTGAAGAACTCAAAAACCCTCGAAGCTCTCTAATCCCGTTGCGATCGTATCGGTTGTTTGGTTCGTCGTTGTAATAAAAGCCAATGTGTGTCGCGAAGGACGCAACAAAAATTTAGTGTAAATAACAGCGCAAAAGAAAGCGATATCTCAGCTACAGTTCGTGTCAAAGGCCAGCACTGTTGTTTTTTGTCAGAAAATCACTTCATCTGTAATTTTCTTTCGACACAGAAATGACACTGACATGCCAAGTACATCATCCTTCAGATCTACTCTTATTACGCTGCATCTATGCAATGCAGAAAATGCATACTGACGAGAAGTTGTCTGTGCATGTGCGTGTCTGTGCGTCTGTACCGATTTTCATCTCAAGACCTATAAAAGCTACAGGGCTGAAACTTTCGGAACTTATCTACATGCACGTATGTGCTCCAATCCCCGAAATGGGCGCTCTTACCCGCGTGGTACCGAAGTACGGGCCCGCCAAAGTCTTTGGCAGGGATGCTGCTAACCCGGGAATCTTAGAAACTACAGGATTAGAATTTTGAGGGGGCGTTCCACATCCACGCAGGCGCTAATGAGCTCAAACCTAGCCCACGGGCGTGCATGGTTCCTATGTACGGGCCCCTGAATTTTTTTGCGGGTTAGCTGCTAACTCGGGAACCAGGAAAGCTAGAAAGCTGAAATTTTAAGGAGGTGTTTTCTGAAAACCCTAATGGCCAATCTTAATTCGTTTAGCCAGAAGCACCTGCAGGAAAAACCGGTGCCGCTGGT